AAAACAACCAATGCAATCAAAACGCTCTTTAATAATTGGCAATAAATTTAAACCAGGAGACAAGAAAAGCAAATACACAGGAATTTCACAAATACAAACAACACACGTTAGGGAATCCAAAGAACCACAGCCAGTTAAGGACTCTTGGGCCTTTCACTACCAAATCCCTCATGGATTGGTGTCCCTTAGATGCCTGATCCAAGAGTCACAGATTCACAGAATCTCAAAGCTGACTGTGGGGCTACAAATCCGGGGTTAGGACCTGGTGTTGGGGGTGTCCTGGTAACCACACAAGGAGGAACTGGTCCCTGTTGCTTGGGGGTCAGCAACGGTTTCCAGAGCTCAAGTCTCTTTCTGTCATAGCAACCCTTGGAGGGTAGTACAATATACCCCGAGGAAATATCGCTGCTTCCTGGAGAACTGCACTCTTTTCCCTGTAGAAGGACCCACTCATCTTGTATCTGAGACAGTGGATCCAAGTCAGGCCCAAAGCTGCAAAGAAGTTCTCGTGCCTCAGCACCCATTGGCTGAGAGCCTTGTGTGGTCACTCCAATGGGCGACAGGAGCCGCTTTCGGCAGCCAATGGCGTGGAGGTTTAGGTGGTGCCGGAGGGGGCGGGGTCAGAGGCAAGGCCCGGAGTGCGCAACCAGTCGGAGCTCCCACGTGAGCAGGCGCAGGAGGTTGAAGACCACGCTGACTTCGCGACACCGAGGCGAGTCCTAGAGCCCAGGAGGGAGCGCAGCGGGGCTAAGCCTGGCTCTTCCCTCCCAAGAAGACCCACCAGTCCCGCTCTCCCAGCCTCAGTCCCGTCCTTGTCAGCCTCGCCCGGTCCTCCCTGCAGGCTAACCCTGTATTGCCTGCTACACTCACAGCTCTCCGCGGTTTGTGACGCCTCCTCGGGGCCCCGGGGACCTTCCTGGAGAAGCCTGGTCGTGACAGCTCGAGCTGGAGGTGGGACATGAGGCAAATGGAGAAGGCGAAGGACGAAGCCCCCCTCTGCATCTGCCCGTGACCCTCCCAGCCGCAGACCCGAGCCTGGATTTGTGGACACCCAGAGGACCCGAATCGGGTCTGGATCGGTTTTTCCGCTAAGCGGGACAGATTCGCA